CCATACTGATGCTCGGTTTGAACTGCAGGAGATTGTCTTGACCATGTCTACATGCCTAAATGCACTGAGTTGCCGCCATGTGATTGGTTGATTAGAAATTAAATGTTAACGAGCAGTTGGACTGGTGTACCTAATAAAGTGGCCGGTGAGTGAGTGTAATATATATATATAAAACCTCTTAAACCAGTTGTTCTTTATCAGGGGAGCTAGATTATATACAACTTCAACTTTTAATTGTCCACAACAATGTTTGTTTTTCTGTTTACAAGGTTTTACTAATCTTGAATAGCTAGAGAAAATAAAAAATGCCAAAGCTTGGGACACATGAGGATAAAACTGTCTGACCAAAGGGAGACAGCGGTAGGGTTGGGCAATACTGGCAAAAAATATATATAATCACGATTAATTGTGGTATCTAGCCAATAACGATTWATTTGATGATTAATCCCCTGGAGTCCCTGGACACGCTTATGTCCTGGTCACATGATCAATTTAGAAAAGATTTGCTCTTCATAAAAATCTGTTCCAAATTGTGTCAAAATCACAGACTTCAGGCTTTACAACAAATTTTAAATTGTGTTGATAGATAAATAAACTACGCAACTTTTTTTTAAATGTTCATCATATTTGAAGCAGAGAGGAGCACTGAGCGGACTCTACCTGGTTGCATTAATCGTATTAATCGTCAAGTGCCAAAAAATAAATCAATTCATGTTTTTCTGATGATTAATCGCACACGATACGATTATGCCCAAGCCTAGACGGTGGACACAAATATTTTGAGGGTGACCACTGGCCCCCCTGGCCTACCCTTGGTGGAGTCCTGGATTGAAGTTTGCTTAAAAATTAGACCTAGATTACAGTAACTATAATAAGATMTAATCTTCCTAATCAACCTTTGCATCATAGTTTTCAAACTTCAAAATAATTCCTTTAATTCTAATCCTTTTAATTTCCTTACTGACGCCATTTTCTCTGCCGGAAATCCCTTTGTATAATGTTTGGCAGCATTGTAATTTAGCTTAAGCATTCCTTTTTTTAAATACAGGGCTTGACTTCTTGATGACATCACTCCAGACTAATAAAAATAAAGTTTTCAACCCAGCATTTATAAACAAACCTACCTTGTTGCGAGGTGATAAATCCCCACATTTCAATAAACTATGCGTTATTTTAAAGCTTTTGAGATTCAAAATGAGATTTAAAAACTCAATATTTGAATATTCTTCATTGTGACTCATTTTGAATAAGTTACATGTACCAACATTGTTTACTATAAAAGTTCTATTGTAAATAGTGGTGCACAAATAAATCGGGAAAATTGGCCAATAAGATCGGTGGAAAAGATCGGCTTCTCGTCTRTCTCTACAAAGGTCTGAAAATCAGCCACTTTCCCCTTTTTTTTCTGCTGGGAGCACTACCTCATGTCCAGTACTGTTCAATGTTTTTTTTCAATAAAATAAGACTGGAACATTGAGTGTATTGTGACCTTATAACATCTGTATGTAAAAATCTGTATCAGCCAAAATCGGAATAAGCAGGCCAGACATTTTAAAGATTGGTGATCGGCAAGAAAACTACAATCGGTGCACCCCTGACACAAACTATGGGTTTATGACAACAGCAACTGCATTGTGTTTAGGGGTGTTTAGGGGTGTTTAGGGGTGTTTAGGGGTGCACCAACTGCAGTTTTCTGACCAATCACAAATTACGATCTTCCAATTTTGGCTAACATCCATTTTTTTAATTAACTGATATGTTGCCAATACACCTTCAACTGTTCCAATTTACTGAAAAACACATGTAGTGCTCACAGCAGACAAAAAGAGACAGTGGCTGATTTTCAGACTTTTATAGATAAAAATCTATGGATATCTAKGGATCCATAGATTCTTTGGATAATATCGATCTCCCAAAAGTATTGAATTCGGGGCGATAAATCAGCCGACCGATTTATCTGTGCACCCCTAAATATTTACATTGCTTCCAACTTTTTCTAAACTAGGTTTGGAAAAACTGTGACTGTTAAATTGAAGAACCAAAAGTTGAAGTGTAAGCAGCTAATTATRAAATGGGTTTGACGTGATTGCACTTTAAATGTATAATTTCACACAGAAATAGTCAGATAGGTGCACTAAAAGCTATGCCATATAAATAAGACTGAAAAGGAAAGCCCTGCCCACATAAAATACATTACAACTTGCTGTAAAATCACTGAGAATTGAATTAAATAAGAAAGCCAGCTGCTGAGGAGGTGGTGTCCTGTGATTTCACTCACATTACGTGTGATTATGTAAATCAGGATGTAAGGCTAGTGTGAGTGATGTAACCCCCTTTGACTTTATTTTTAAATAAACTAAAAAACCATCAAGGTCTTTCCAGGTGTCCTTGCTGCAGTAAAGGAGTCAATGTGTCCTTTTTAGGGGAAAAAGAACAAGTATAAAAACATTCTAGTGTGAGGTTAAAAGGTGTATTTGTGAAGCACCAGCAGTGACAGAAAAACAGCAGAAAGTGGTTCGAGTAGTTCTGGTGTAAACAAACGTAAAAACGCCTGGTTGTCCGTCCTTACCTGCTCTCGTCCCGACCCTTCCTCCAAAATGGGCTCTTCTGCGGCGGCCGTCTCCTCCTCCGTCTGCATTTTTTCTCCCCCTTTTCTTCGTCCTCCTCAGGCGGCTCCTACCCGGCAGCAGGTACCGTCCGAAGGCAGGAGGGCAGTCCTCCCCGGCGGAGCAGCAGCGTGCTCGGTCACCCCATCCGCCGCCGCAAGTCGAGATCCGATTTCACGACGATGGCGGGGCCTGCGGCAAAAGGGGAGAAGCGGCATCTGCTGCCTGCTCCCCCTGATGCTGGCGGCGGTGACTCGGCGGTGTCCTTCCCGCGCCTCGTCGTCCTCTCCGCCCCGCTCACTGCTTTGGTCGGACCCGCTCCATTCTTCTTCGGCTCTCCTCCGGTCAAAAAGCGTGGGGAAAAAAGCGAGGAAGTGGAGAAGCAACGTCAAAGCAGGTCGCTTTCACCGAGTATCGCCTCTCAAGGAGCTCTATGCATTCAGCTGGTGGCACGTGAGCGCGCGTGACCGACAGCGCACGGGAGTTTGCCGGACACGAGCTGTGGTCCTGAGGTGAGCGATACTGCAAAATTAGATATCGATCCGATACCAATTAAATAAAGGGCCGACGCTGCTAATATCGATCCGATACAGTGAAATACTGAGTATATTTTGATAACCTACACGTGTTTTGTGATTTCTTTTTATTAATTTTAGATAATTAATTAATTACAAAATTAAACAAAAAAATTATAGTAAGTTCTTTATCATAATGGAAGTTTTGTCCAGAAACAATGGAAATAAAACAAAATTTCCCCATACAATATCTGAATTATTTAAAATTATTACTTGAACAATTTTTTTCCTAGGTAGTGTTTAGGGATTACAATAAAAAAATTCTCCTATCACTGAAACTCATGTATTTTATTACTGATTGGTTCTGAGCAATACAAATGTTGTAGATATTAGTGATATTTACCATCTTTAAGCATTCGATTTTACTCCAAGACGAGGATCTCCTTTATTTACAGACCATCTTTTTCTCCCAGACAAATCATTTGAGTATACACATTTGAGTATAGATTGATGTGAAATGTCCTTTTAAATGACTAAATGAAATAGTCAAGGAGAAACCGCGGGTTAAGTCTGCACAATAACCACTTGACACAATTATTAGTTATTAGAAACATTTTATTGTCAAAACAATAAAGAACAGAGTTGAATCTGATAAAGTGGTGTGAAATTTAATCGAAGATTGTTCTGGAGAAATGTGCCATTCCTAAAACAATGAAACAGATTGAATATCTAAATTATAAACACATATGTAAGATTTAACGTGATTGTTTTATTGCATGAATCTGACCTGTTATACTGGAGGACTGGTCAGAAGGATGTCGGTTCATTTTTTGACATACTGTGAGCCTGGACGACCTTGGAGCCTCTCTTTGTCTGTGCACTGGTTTGCCCCTCTTCAAGAAATCTCTCAAGAACGATGAGTAAAACTATGTAAGGACAAGTACCACTGTATATTTTCTCCACACAGACCTAAATCTGTAGCAGTGTCACACTAACAATTTTATTTTTCCTTAAGTTGGACATGTTTAATAAGAATCTTACTAAAGTAAAAGCCCAAGTTTTCAAACCGTCACTCGTAAACAAAACTAGCTCGAGACTAAACAGGTGATAAGATTGTCACATTTCAACAAACTACGTATCATTTTGAAGCTTGTCAGTATTCAAAGGATATCAGCAGTGACAGGGAGGTAGAGAATGTCTGGTTCAGTGTTGATGATAATGTCCTGGGAGATGATCCTGTTTGGCTCTGTATCACACAGGGCAAACAGCTCGACGTGCAGCTCAACGTGCAAACCTGCAGCCACCTGCATGGGACAGTCCCACATAAAACAACTTATTTCCCTTTGCAAAGTAAAATCAAACCCACTTAATCTGGAATAACCTAAAATATATGAACACTGAAAGTTTTTGATGGAGACTCACAGGACCAGGATTGTAGAGGACTCGGAGGCCAGTGCTGATAGGAGGTTGTTTCACATGGAACCTGGCAGCGACAAATTGAAATAAACCACAAATATCTACAGGCCAAAGTTGACTTTCAAACTTATTCTAATAAAAATCCTTTTATTTTGATATTCAAAGGCAATGCTTTCTACAAAATTGTCATTCTTGTTAAAAGCTTTAGGTCTACAATCAATAAAAAGCATTAGAATGGCTAAAAGTTTCTGTCAAATCCTATTTATTGTGTTTAGACTGAAGGTATGCTGTCTTCAATGAGTGCTTCTGCCATTAGGAGTACCACAAGAATCAGTTCTGGGCCCACTGTTAATCCATTTGTATTTTTATAATAATAACTACCTTCGAAGTTTCATTGTATGCAGATGACATGATCATATATCTAAGCCACCAAATCAGATTAACTTACCAGATTAAGTCACATTTGGTCAAACTAAACTAAACTAAGCATATTTTCAGATTCCTGTCTTTTTAAGCTACATTTTGATACATTATTCATCCTGGTTTCATGAACATTTCCAGAGTTACGGTTAGATTTGTTTTTACTAATTGTATGAATCCTATGTTTAGTATATTCTAATGAGGATTCCTTGACATCATTTGAAAGAGGAAACCTCAAACCATATTTGGATATTGGGATTTCAACGTTACCAAAGCACTGTATCTGCCTACATCTCACAACACTAGTTGTGACTTAATCCTCTGTCCGGTGTGATGGGTCACATGTAATGAACAAAGCTCCAGTTTTGATTGAATCTTCACACTTTACACTGAATGTGGAAAAGTAATTCACAAGGAAGAAATAAAGAATTTTACCAAGCATTTGTGCAAATATTGGTCAAAAAGAATTAAAAAGTACAGAAAGGCAAACGCTCTAGTGGGAGTTTGGATCCAAGTGTCGGGGTTCAAATATCACAACAACAAGGTGACTAATACATGGATATTTAATTGAAACTGCTTAATGCTGTACCTGCATGTGTCAACACCCACGTTCTTCATGATCACAGTGATGGTAGAGGAGGTGCCCACCTTCATCGTACCAAAGTCAACACACGACGGGAGAAGCTGAAAGCCCCTCACCACTGATTTGGGATCAGTCAGGGAAACTGTTCGACACTTCATCCTCACCGGCTCCTCCACCGTCAGGAACTGGAGCAGGGGGCACCGACAAGATACGTGTGTTAATGATGAAAAAAGTGCTATTTCAGTCTTTATTAATCTGTTCAGAAAGCTAAATTGGACCAGACTGATGAGCTGAAAGTTTAGCTGTGAGCTCATCAATTTCTATTTCTTCACACTGGTGAAAGAACTATCTACAACAGGTAAGATATTAAATGTTCATAATCTTTCCTTTAATATTCTTYAATATGTTGGTTCATTCATGTTCCTTTGACAGATATGTGCAGAGATATTTCAGGTTTTTGGCATGCATATTTAAATTTACATGTTGGTTTGGTACGCTGTAGGGTTTAGAGCTGAGGATGCAGGTTGGTAGTCTGACTTTAGTCTGTCTCGGCTTTCCGGTCACGTCCACCTGGACCGACTTGCACCACCTCACTGAACTTCTATGTCTGCTTTCACCTGAACATAAAGCACACAGAAAAACATCAGCTCATAGCTGCATAACACCCAGACTGAAATTCACAACACTTTTTTCCCCTACACATCTCAACAAAAGTAAGGATGGGTTTAATGCATTTACCTCATTTAGGTCATTTAATTTTTTTTTTGTAACTTCCTTACAGTAGAGTTAGCTTCATGTTATAAGCCTTTTAAAGTGAAATTTTCTAGCTTTTCCAGCACATAAACATAATAAATTACTAAACACCATACATTTATTTATTATCATAAATTTATATAAATATAGATCTGCGAAAATAGTAAAACTGCTTCATATTTACTGTCCTAACAAGAAACAGCCTTTACAATAGAGTAAAACTATCAAATTCTGTTTTCTTTATTCTAAAGATATAATAAAAGGGGGATTTTTTACCAACTCATAATGGGTTCATTCAGTTTTAGRAACTTACTGAAAGTTCTGAATGTTAAAATGTAACACTTGCACTTTATGTGCCCTGCAAACCTGAATGTTTTTAAAAAGAGGAACAAACCAGCAGACTGCAGGGTGGGCTTGGTCGGAGGGATTTCAGACATTGTGTCTCTTTTTGCTGCATGACTTGAAAAGAAAATGAAGAAAGTGTCATAAAACCAAAGCTAAAATACAGAAATACTCTCTTCCATCAATTCCACATTAAATATCTGTAATGCAGTATATGGTACCTTTCTGACTGAGATGGAGTTTCGTTTAAAGGTGGTGGGGCTGCAGCGACAAACGCATCATTAACATTTAAATTTTTTCCTCCGGTTGGTTTTAAACAGAATTTGAAGCTTGATAAAAAACAACTTTAGTTTCAAAGTAAATTCTGAAACATGAATAACTCACAGCTCTCCTGTGGGGAGTCTTTAGAGACGGCCTCAGTACCGTCTAACTGTTGGATGAATGGGAGATCCGTGGACCGTCTACTAACGTTGGGTAATGAGGAATGCAGCAGACTCTGAAGAAACACATGAGAACGCTGTGTTTTTCTGCACTACATATAAAATCTAACAATAATCTAAAAAGACAAATATAAATGTAAACACTGTATTTAATCAAAACAAACTTGGTATAATGGAAGGTTTTCTGGATGGAAATAAGGAACAATGATCTTCTTCCTCAGAAACTCTGTGCACGTCTTCACCTCACTGAGCCCCTGTCTAAAAAAATACATTCATACAGAAATAAATATTTTACTAACATGTAAACATCTGACTCAAACATCAATTTAGCACAAAAAGCAAGACTTGTGTTTTGTTAATTATTTCATTGTTGTACAGTAACAATGCTTGGCAGTCATTTTTATGCCTGTTAATTTTCTCTTAAATGGTGCCACATTTGAAATACATTTGTGGGTTGAGCAGTATGTGGGTTGTGCGCATGAAAAACTCTTTAAAAAAACAGCTCATTCTGCTGCTGACTCCTGTTTGGTGCAAGATTATAATTGTTTTGGATTTTTCATTATAGTTTAGTTTTATTTAGTTGTGACATTTTTTCTTTTAATTCAGTTAATTTTAATTAGTTTTTAGTCAGGATTTGCTCTTTTTTTGTTTTTTATTGTTTGTTTAATACTTAGTTTTAATTTAGTTTAGTTTTTATTAGTTCTAGTATGTGGGTTGTGCGCATGAAAAACTCTTTAAAAAAACAGCTCATTCTGCTGCTGACTCCTGTTTGGTGCAAGATTATAATAGTTTTGGATTTTTCATTATAGTTTAGTTTTATTTAGTTGTGACATTTTTTCTTTTAATTCAGTTAGTTTTAATTAGTTTTTAGCC